CTCTTTTCATATTTAAAAAGTAGCTGAGATTTATTGATCTTTTAAACTCTACTCAACAATGTGCCAAGCATTTTTCATGCATGGTCCTATTTAATCTCTGCAGCAGTCTTCAGAGACACCCAGAAAGTTGTCTACACCTCACAGATTAGACGCTGTGCTGCTTCTGCCCCCAGCCACAGGCAGTGACTACAAACAAGCCCAGAATTTGAACTCAGAGCTTTCTAGCTTCAGAGGTGTTGCTCTCAGACACCGCAGCATGCCTAGGAGATCTAGACCGTTTTATTTTACCTGGTATCAGACAGATACTTGTTAGAAGTGCATTTGGAGATTTCAAGTTATGTGAGAAGTGTCTTCTGGATCTCATCATAGAACCTCTGCAACTGTACCCAGCCTCACTGGGAGATGTTTGGGGCTCCAGGTGGGGATCTTTTGCGCATGTGATGCATGAGCCAAACAGCCTTCAGTGTTCAGCTTGATGCCCATCACCCCCTGGCCCTGAGCCAGGCCTGCCTGATAATCACACAGGCACATGTGCTCCCATGCACGTACACACGCACCCACAGGATTCATCAGACAGTACGTACCAAAGCACTTATTATCCTATCTCTGTATTTTGAGAAATAAAACCATTTGAGATTTCCCATCTATGAGTCTAGCTAAAGACTGCAAGGCCCTTGACTTTTGAGTGGATTTCAAAAGCTCCTCTTCGTGCTACTGCCCTGCAAAATTGGATCTACCGTTTTATGCTGGGCACTGGCAAGCAGAGAGAGAGCCAAGAGGTGGGATGCATTTGGCCCAGTGTCTCACTTGGCATGGGCCAAAGTTTAGGTTCCGGTTTTCTGTGGTACGGCCTCAAATGCACTTGGTTCTTTTTCTTCAAAGTGTCCAAATGAGAGGGTGCATAGGAACCACGAGGGACCGTGCATGGCAGTGAGGAAGAAGCAGTCCCTCTGTGTGTGTAGCTGTCAGTGCCCCTGTGAGGAGCTTCCCAGGACACGGGCTGTCACACCAGCACAGGAGGGTTCGTCACACGTATTCACTCATGGTTTTTGCTCTGTTTTGGTGTTCGAGATTCTAAGAGTAAATTCATGGGCCAGCAGCGTGCTCAAAGCACAGCCTGGCTCCCTACCTGCCCCTCTCCTCCCGAGGCACTGTTGGTTCCCCTGTGAACACAGACAAAGAGGAAGGAATGCACAGGCCATCCTTGGGGAGTGTTGGGCAGGCAGGCAGGCCTCACGCAAGGTCAGGAATGGGTCAAAAAGTCCGCTCTTCCCTGCAGGATGCACTGGGATCAAAGTAGGGAACAGAGATCAGAGACAAGGGGCTCTGGCCTCTCTTTCAGACTCCAGGCTTATCTGTTTGCCCTCACAGAACTGGGCTGTGCCATATTTAAAATTTTGATGAGCTGTCAATGTTTAAAAACCAGAACATTTCTCATTAAGAAAATAGGAAGTTTTAGCTGTGCTCAGAAAAGTGGAAGGCTGTATTCCATCATGTCTGTGATGTGCTGGAGCCGAGCAGGCACCGTGCCATGAGGGCCAAGGGTTTGCTGCTCCTCGGCCAGCCCCCAGGGACACACACACACTGGCCCTGGCCGGCCACCCACTCAGCCCACTCTAGGCATCATTTTCCTGGTACTTGAGCTGTTATGCTTTATGAGACCTGGTGTTGGAGGTCTTCTGTTCCATGGAAAGGTGTTTGGGCCGGGAATGGGTTGCTCAAAGCTGCCTGTAGTTCTGACACCAGGAGTAAGTCGGTGAGGCTCCGGTTTTAGAGGTGCCAGGCCACTTGCCCCCATCCATCAAGCTTCCCCACTAACTCGGTTCGAACTCTGTCCATGAAGTGTCTGCAGTTGGCAATGCGGATGAGAAGTTGAGGCCCAGGCAGGTGGCACAGGCACAGAGACCCGGAAGTCCGTAGGGGCAGAGCTGTGCGAGCTTGGGAACCAGCCAGGCCGTCTGGGATTTGGAAGGAGGCAACGTGAAGGGGCCAGGGCAGGAAATGAGATGGATGACAGGCGTCTTAGGATCACGATCAGCAGTGCAAAGGGACCACAGCTTACGCATGAACTTTCCAGGAGGAAGAATGCACAGTGCATGAGAGGTCTGTTTCCCATCAAAACAAATCTGTTTTTTAAATTAGTATGATGGGTATACGTCAGTGTGTAGAAGAGCTGGCTGCATACACATGCTCAGCCCCTTCCTGTTCAGCAGGTCCTCTCAGAGTAGAAAACCTGTCTTCTTCAGTGCTGCACCCAAACGGTGCCCGTGTCATCACACGACATGAGCACAAGAAATAGCTACTGAACCAAGTAGTCAATTAATTGGTTAAAGATAAACAAATAATGTAAGCTACTGTCTTGAAAGACTCAACCGGAAAGTTTGGCTTATGTAGACCTCTGGCCCTTGCCGCGGTCTACCCAGGGCAGCTGCTGCATTGGACTGAGCTGTGTGATAATGTGGGCGGTTCTGGATTATCAAGCTTTCTCCATTTGAATCTGAAAGGGCTCAGACTCACCTGTGGTTTTCCTGAGGGAGCAACCCGATGGAGGGGCTGTCTCTCCTGAGCATCCCACAGCTGGAGTCAGGCACCTCTCAGAGCCCCTGGCCTCCCGCTCTGCCGCTGCCGCTGTAGCCTTTACCAGGCTGCTTAAGGGATGTGAGTGGGTCAGCTGCTGAGACCACTGGCAGGCTTTACACACGATAGCATGGGCTTTATATGTTTTCTATGAGTAATAAGTGAGTGCATTCATGTTAGAAGAGGAATGCAAAACTAAAATGGCGCATGTCCACTCTGTCTGCTTTCGTAGGTCCATTCCCTGTTCTCAAACGTGGTCATTGGTAACTTTTATACATAGCATGTAAACCTTTTTTCTGTGTAGTTATGGCACAATCCTGTAGATCTGTGAAGACAGCATTCTCTAAAAACGTAGACTGTTGTCTGGGTACAAGAAGGCTACTGATTTTTGAGTGTTGACCTTGTATCCAGCTACTCTATCTAACCTGTCAATTAAGTCTAGAAGTCTTTCGGTGGGGTTTTTTGGGTCTTCTATGTAAAGTCTCATATCAACAGCAAATAATGACAGTTTAACTTCTTTTCCTATCTTTATTCCTTTTATTTCTTTCCCTTGTCTAATTGCTGTGGCTAATATTTCCAGAACTATATTGAACAGGAGTGGTGATAGTGGACATCCTTGTCTTGTTCCTGATTTTAGCATGAAGATTTTCAGTTTTTGACCATTTAGTATGATGTTGCCTGTTGACTTTTCATAGACTTAATCAGGTTGAGATAAAGAATTTATGAACAAATACTCAGTAGCATGGGAACTAGCACAAAGAATCAACAACTGGGATCTCATCTTATTAAAAAGCTTCTGTACTGCAAGGAAAACCAACAGAGCTAAGAGACAACCTACAATGTGGAAAAAAAAACTTTTATCAGTTGTTCCTCAGACAAAGGACTACTATCTAGAATATATAAAGAACTTGAAAAATCAGACCTTCGAAATATAAAGACCCACTTCAAAAATGGGCATCTGAAATGAACAGACATTTCTCAGGCAAAGAAGTAAAAGGAATAAATGAACATAAAAAATGTTCAACATCCACTGATCGTTTGAGATATTCAGTTGAAAACAACACTGAGAGTCTACTTCATTCCACAAAGAATGGCTGCCATCATGAAATCAATCAATAACAAATGCTGGTGTGGTTGTGGGGAGAAAGGAACCCTTCTCCACTGCTGGTGGGAGTGCAGACTGGTGCAACCACTGTGGAAATCAATATGAAGATACCTCAAAGAACTGGGATTAGAGCTCCCATTTGATCCAGCTGTCCATCTGCTGGGTATCTTCCCAAAAGATTTAAAAGAGTCATACCCATGTTTATAGCAGCACAGTTTGCAATGGCTAAAACTTGGAAACAGCCCAATTGGGCTGGGTAAGAAGATGTGATTTTTTAAAATAAAATAGAGTACTACTCAGCCATAAAGAATGAGAAACTAAACACATTTATAGCTAAATGAATGCACATTGAGTCCATACTCTTAAGTGAAATAAATAGGACACACATGTGTAAATACTGAATAGTTTCTCTGGTGTGAAAAACTAAAAGTGTAGATAAGGAACAAAATGTATAATTGATAATGTGAAATAGGAAGAAAAGGAGTAGGAGAAGTGGGAGGGGTAGGAGAAAGGAAAGAAGGGAAAAGAAAAAAATATGAGAAAAGGAAAAAATTGAAACAAAGTCTTTGTAAACCAGGAAGAGTGGAGGGTGTGAAGGTACGGTGTGGAATGGAGAAAAAATAAGAACAAAGATAAATCATGTAAAGGTGCAAGTTCCCAATGATGAATGTAACTGTACTGTATACCTAAAATGTACCAATAAACTAAATGGAAAGAAAGGGGAAAAAAGTAAATTGGATCATAGGACAGGTAATGCTAAATAATTTTTCAAAACATGGCAGGGCTTTGCATCTTGGAGAAGTGCATGGTGACACACATGTAACCCTGTAATCTTTCCATTGCCGCATGGCACTCTGCCATTCATCTGTATCTTAGCTTGTTTACGTGTTCTGTAATCCATGGACAGTTAGCTTGTTTTCCATTTTTTACTGCGCTGAATGATGCCACAGTGAACATTTTTGCCCTTCCCTTTGTGAAAATATACGCGTCTTCCTGTAGAAAACATGCCCTGAATTAGAATTGCAGGTGTAAAATATGCACATGTAAAATTCTGATAGCTACTTCAAATTTGTTCTTCTAAAAAGCTAAACCAATTTACTGCTTTGCCAGTAGGATATGAGATTAACTCTTTCCTCACTTCCTTGCCTAAAGTAGATGTTACCATTTTTTTTCTGCAGTGCTTTTGAATTTTGTGCACAAGAAAGTAAAATCCCCTTGTTATTCTAAATAATACCATGGATTCCTCATTAGGCAGAACTAATGGGCATTGGGCCTCCCACTCCCTCTGTGTCTACATGTCACTGTCCTCCTCTTTCAGATGCTCACTACCTCACCTGCAGGATCCAAGAGTGTGCTGAGACCACTCGAAGTGGCCCCTTCGCCCGCTCCATTGACATCAGCTCCCTAGTTGTCCAGGATGAGTATATCTTCATTCAGGTGAGTGCACAAAGTGCGGGTGCTGGGAGGAAGAGGAAGAGGATTGTGGAAGCGAAGCCAGCTGCCTGCTGGGAAACTGAAGCAGGCGTTTCCCAGGCTGTGAAGGTTCCAAGCGAGGACACAGTCCCTCTCTCTCCCCGTGTCCTTGAGATAGCCCAGCGTTCTGCTGCAGGATGAATGTGTTATGGGTCCATGTCCCTTCCAGGGGCTCCAGTGGCCCTCAGAGTCTTTCATCAGATTGCACATTTCAAAAACAGAGCTGTCTCCGCATAATTAGTTTTGGGCTTGGAGGTTATTCAAAGTCAAGTGTCTTAATAGACTTCAACTTTAAGGTAGTTTATTAAAGTGGGGTTTTATTTCTGCCCAAAGTGACTTGTCTAACTTGAAAGTAGAAATCCCCTTTAAATTAAGAATCTCTAGGGTTTTCGTTTTGGAAAAGTGAAGAACTCACTAAATCCTCCCCTCCTTTCTACTGCTGGCCTCAGCCTCCAATGGGCAATTCACAATCCTTGACTTCCAGAACTCTGTCTCCCAGAAAAAGAGGTGGAACTTAACATCTTCAGGCAGGCAGAGGGGGCGTCTTTGGAGGTCTTGATTTTGTGGCTTCTACTAGGTACTGAGAGGAGGTACAAAATTGATCAAAAATGGGGGAAAAGAAAAGGTGACTCAAGGACAAGGGGCCCCACCTGTGCACCTGCCTACATGTTCCTGGACAAAAAATCCCAGGTCCAACCTCAAGTTTCTCCACTCGGCTCTCCTAGCATTCTGCTCTCAGTTGTATCCCACAGGAAACTTGGGCCCAGACACTCTCTGAGTTTGCTCAGCGCTAACTAAGTGTGCACTTGGCTTCTGCCTGTCCCCGGCCTTCTCATGCTGACCGTGTCCACTGTGCAGTCCTTCAGCCTCCCAGCTTTGTTCCTCACCATCCTGTGCACCTTGTAGCTTTCGGGTCTGCATTGATACCATTCCTCCAGGATATGGTCCTTTAGGAGCCATTGCCTAGTAAACCAGAAGAGATCTGTCTCCTTTCCAATTCTGGTGTACGCTGAGGGTACAGACAGTATTTTATACTTGGGTTTTACTCCCTCGCACTTGACTATAATCACCATGCTGTCTTTGCAAATCAGGGTGTTTAATGAACACTTCCATGTGTGTAGGTTTGGGTGTGGTGTATAGCAGTTAGGGTTACTTCTTTCAACAACTCAGTTGCGTGGATTTTTCTTTTTTTGCAATACTGGGGATTGAACTCAGAGCTTTCACAATGAGCTACATCCCCAGCCCACTGTCATCATCATCAACATCATCGTCATTGTTTTGAGACAGGGTCTCACTAAGTCACTAAATTACCCAGAGTGGGCTTTAATTCAGGAGCCTCCTGACTCAGCCTTTCACAGTGTTAGGGTTACCTGTGCGAGGCACCTTGCCTGGAATTTCCATGGAGTTTTGAAGTCAAAGACAGTACAGGAAAAGTAACCAGCTACTTAAAAACCAACTCAAAAGATGGAGTAAAATAGGAAATCTCTAAAACTTTAAAAAAAAACTCCATTTCAGTGTGATTTAAAGCCAGAGGCTCAGGATTGTTTCTCTAAGTCTTGGCACGTCATTGTCTCTCTCATCTCTTCCACGGGTATTTTCTTGAACACATGCACTGCAAACTGTTCCATGCTAGCCCTATTCTTGGTGTTTCTGAGATTGCTGCCCTTGGCCTGCTTCTCTCTGTACCAGACTCGCCACCTTAGTGATCCCTTGGCTTTGAATAGCATCTCCGTGTTCTGATGGCTCTCAAATCCACCCTGTGACCTCTGCCACATGCTGCAGACACACGGATCTAAGGAGCCACCTCAGTGCCCAGCCTGGGTGCCCCACGGGACAAAACAGAGCAGCAGGTGCCTGTCGGCCCTGACACAGTTGGTGACATCTCCCTCAGAGTAGAAGAGTGAAGGTCAGTCCGTGTTGCCAGTGAATGCCTCGGACCTCTCCAGAATCACTCCTAATTATTTCTCGGTGATTCCTCATCATACAATCCCCCTCTTAGAATCCCCATCCACTGCTCTTTTCTTTCTCTCCTCACTAGAGTTGTTTACAAGCAGAAGCACATGTGATTTATGAATTTTCCAGTCCAGTTGCCCTTTCCTTAATGCTAACACTGTACATGAGATGAGCCATGACAGTATTGTCTCTGAGAAACATAACTTAAAACTTGAAATGATCACATTTTTCCTTGTGTTGCATAAAGTTTTCTGCAACTCTACAGGTGGGTAACCAGATTTTTAAAGTTCTCCCGCAACAGTTCTTTCACATTATAGTAGAAGTATTTTTTTAAATCAGCAACATTGTGTTTCATTTGAAAGAAGTACAAAGTCTCACCAGTAAACCAGTAAAGTTTCATTCATTGTGTAGCACATCTGAGGTGCCTGCTCTGCACGAGATAATGAATAGCACAGAGTTCCGGCCTCCCTGGCACCGGTTCAAGAGGGAGCAGGGAAAGGATATGTATTGATGTACACATCCAGGGGCCGAGAGGACTGTGGAGCCTGGCAGCCAGCATTTGTCAGACTGCGGTTTGCCATTCTCTAGTGTGTGACCCTGGGCTGTGCCTGATTTGACTTATCCAAAACAAGAATATAATTGCACCATCTACCGCATGGATTTCTGGGAGGGTCACATTTGCTAATTGTATCTGCAGAACAGTGCCTGAAACAGTGCCTGGAACCTCGTGCTGTATGAATGTTTTCTATCTTTCTGTCTTACACCATCATCTGTTTACCTATCCACAAAATATTCTAGATTATGACAAGTGCTGTGGATAGAAATGGCTGTGAAGGAGGCAAGGGGAAAGATGTCGACGTTTTATTTAGGATCGCCTGGAAGGGCCTCCTTGAGTGGTGGCAGAAGGACACACGGTCAGCAGGGAATGCGGAACCAGGCTTGGGCCCGGATGAGCCTGGTGAGCCCTGACTGGGGTGGCAGCTAGGGGCCTGGGGCTGGGTGCAGGAGGTTTTACTCTCCACAAATACGAAAAAAAGGGCTAACAATGCCCAGAGTAATGCAAAAGGCCATTAACTTGAGATTATTTTTTGCAAATGTTGCATTTGCAACCGTGAGTTGGTCACGACTGACATTAAGTAAAGGAATGACAGAAGGTGGCAGGTTACACGGGGCCCGGGCACACGTTTGAACTGGTTGGCCACCCATACTTAAGCAGCCCTTCCCTTCTTGAAGGTGAATTTGGCAGTTTGCACTGATAAATACAACTCATGTGCCTTAGTAGTGACAGTGTAGGTTTAACTGTGAGCACTTCTTTTTAACTCTCGTCATAAGGTCTGTTTTCTTTGCCTTCTGGTGTATTCCTTCGATATCGTTACTATTTGTGTTTTAGCTCGGTTTATCTTTATAACTTTCTGTAACCTGCCAACTCTTCCATTTGTGGACTGTCCCCACTGATACCCTCTCGTGAGCAATTGTAAAATCAATGTGTTTCCGTTTTTTCTCACCTCTCAAATTCTTCTGCCACACAGCTTTGATTCATCATAGTATTTCCAAGTGTTCACCTTACTGTCCTAAAATGGAATTCTGTTGGACTTGAATATTTTGTGAAGCCCTGTGGAGGAAATGTGAAACACAGTAGTGTGTCTGTGATGCCCGCTCAGTCCCCACTCCCAGCCCGTCCTTATTAATGAAGTATTTAGAGCACCCATCCTATCCTGCACCGCTCTCTCTGCATTCCTTTGACCTCAGTCTGACAAGTATATGTGTTCTGCTTTCCTCACCAGTCCTCTGCTGTAGTTTTCTCTCTTAGCTCTCGGTTGTCTCAAGTTTGTTTGTCCTTTAGTAAAATCTTCAAGACCAGCTGATTGTTGAATGTTGGAAATGTTTGCTTATCCCCCTTTCTGCTTTAATATTCCTTAAAGGGATCCAATATATGAATTATTCTTTTGATGAGAATTTTGCTCCATTAATATTCTGAATGTTAGTGTATTAGGCCAGTTTGTGACTTCCCTCTTTTAGGTGTCTTGTTTTGTTGTGTTTTTTGTGAGTTTTTTTTTTTTTTTGCTTTCATTTACCTGTGATAACTAAACATGGTTTTGTCTTTATATTGAATGCCAGTTACTTACTAGTGTCTGTTTTATGGTTGACATAATTGTGTCAATCTTTTCCCTTACGATATGAGTCTTTTTCATTCAGTAGATTCAGTGTTTTTTTTGTTTTTGTTTTTTTTCATTCTCAGCTTCTCATAAGTTCTGTGACATTTCTGGAATTGCTTGTTTTATTTCAGTTTTGTTGCTTTGGCTATTTTCCCTTCAGGTCTGGGGAGTACATACTAGACAGGAAAGAAAAATGGATGTCGTTTCAAATCATCTCCATTTGTGCAAACTGAGTAAACTGAGATATAAAGACAATCTTATATTATTCTTGCAGAAGTATTGCATAGTGTCCAATATCCTGGCTCCTTTATACCTTTTTCTCTCTCTCTCTTTTTTTTTCTTCCTTACCATCTTTTTTGAACTTTGCCCCCTCATATTTTATCTCTTTTGTTATCTCAACATACCTTCTCTGAGCTCTTCTATTTTTGTTCCAGCCTCCCTGTTTAGTTTATTTTTAAGCCCAGCAACATGGTCTCAAATTTAATTTGCTCCTTGGAACCATATTTTGGCATGTGTCTGCTTCTTGTTTCTTCCTTTCTCTTTTATTTTGCTGTATTTTATAATTTTTGTATTGTTTCTTTTGTCTTTGTTTTTAACTATTGCTTTTTTTTTTTTTTTCTGCACTGAGATTGAACCCATGGCTTTCACACTTAGCTGCAACTCCAGCCCAGTCTGAGCTCAAACTTGTGATCCTCCTGTGTCAGCCTCCCGGGGTGCTGGGATCACAGGCGTGTACCACCACGCCTGGTTGACTCTTACTTTCTAATGACTGGAGATCTCCCTTCATGAACTATTCCAGATTTATTTTATGATCAATCAGAACACTGCTTTCACTTAGCAAGCATCCTCTTAGGC